ATCAAGTTATGCATAACCTTTTTTAAAAATTATGCAAACTTTTACAGTTTAATCAAAGACATGACAAATATTTCCTTGGCCAACTTTAAATTTGAAAACTTTTTGATCACCCGTTAAAACACACAGCATAACTTCCTTCTAGATCTCAAAATGACATAAAATGTTACCAGTTTACCAGAACTTCCACCTTAACAAAATTTGCTAGAGTTGACTTTAGACATTTGACCTATTTAGTTGTTTACTTGCGCCATTTGTGTTTGATCCTGCGCTTATTGGCAAAAGGCATCAAATTGGCAATCTCGGCATTACATCGCATCAAGAAACGTCTCAAATCAAACGCTTTGATCGCAATAATCCCGCTTATTATATACCCATTAGTTCAGAATAATTTGAGGAAATGTCAATTTAAAGCGGATGTTTACGCAACACACCCATTTACTCCAGAAATTTCGTTTGATTATTGCATTTAGACCATTGTAACGGTTAAATTAATCCGGTTGGAGTACCTGTAAGTGACGCTTTGGGACCGGAATACACAAGTTCGATCTGCATAGGGCGCTCGATTGCCTCGTCACGTGCCAACAACATGTGCCTGCTATTCACGTGCTGCAAACATACGCTTATTCTTGTTTCATTTACGAATGAACGGATCCATCGCTCATTTCACGGCGTCTATGCTTACGTATCGTAGGTTATTTGTCTCGGAACGTCGTTATGTACGAAGCAAAACAACGCATCTCTATTACCTTTGACGGTGTGCTTAAGTCTGTCTTTGTGGGGCTCACAAAAGGACAGAAGAGGTCCTAGAAGATGACACCGATACAACATAAAGAAACAGGAATGAAAATAAGCTAATATGATTTCGTAAATACGTTTGTGGAGAGCCGAAAGAAAGGGCTTTAATGTGAGACTTCCAACCAAATACTATATTCGGGTTTCAAAAAACACAAGCTGGTTTTAATGCTCAAATTCGGGAACAGAGCACACAGCATATAGTTACCGGAATTACGTGACATATAATCTAAAGTGAAATTATTTCCTTAGAAATCACGATGGGGATGCAACTTCATTGTCAAATGTCTTTCTAATGTTGTTGTATACAGTTATACCGCTTTTTGACACCGATGGCAATGTTTTATTTGACGCTGCGAAGTAAGGTAATTACGTACAAATAATAATAATTATTATTAAGAGTATTAAAAATGGATGCAAACAGTTTCTTCAAAATTATTCACCTGTAGAGAAGAGATTTTTTCAATTTTCTGTTAAATGGGTTACTCACTTTACCACGAAATATACGAATGTGTATACTACCATCAACGATAGTAATCTGCTACAGAGCTTAAGACTAATAATAAATTTAAGATAAGAAATATGCCATTTAAAAAAGAATAAGCTGGAAAAGATATATTTTAGCCTAGTTCAATCTGCCACTTCAGCCACAAAAAAAAAATGAGAAGTTAGCACCAAGAGATCGAGCCTTCAGTTTTCCCTATAATCCGAAAGATAAGGTAGAATCCAACTAAATTCGATGACCGACAAAATTAATTCTCAATATTGTAATTAAAAAAAATCGGTGGAAAATGATTTCGCAGAACTTCCCTCGCCCATAAAGTACAGTGCATCAAATCCAGCTCTTTCGAAAAATTCATGATTACATTATTAAAGAGATCCTTTTTACACTTTCTAAGTTAAATAATGATATTTTGTTGTACAATTGCTTAAAAAAAAATGTATGAATTCAAGTTAGGAGTAGACTAAAAATCAGAGGTATCGGAGCATATTATTTTGCCTATTTTAAATAAGATTTAAAATAGGCAAAGATTTACTTAGGAAGATTCTGAATTTGCGTCATCAAATTTTTGCTGGAGATCGTATATATTTTGGTTGCGTTTTATCTTCCACACGAAAAATTGTCAACAATAAATTCAGTAGTATCGGAAATTATTTGTGTAATAAAACCGCCAACACACGACAAACAGACAGATGTCCTACTTTTCCATACTCTAGAAGCTATGAAATGTCCACATGAATTTTTATTGAGGTTCTAAAATGTATAAGTACAGTATGAATTTTTATACTGTTCTCACAAGTACCAACCAATGTATAATTACTAAAATAGTTATCCATTTGATTTAGCTCTTTTTTGATGGAAGGACAGCAACGTAATCCAAAAATAATCTGAGAAATATATATAATACTTGAAGAATGTACGATTATATTCAGCAATACAAAATATTTCAAAAACGCGTGCTGAAAACATAAATTGACCTGACGTGACATTCAGTTAAACCTTTTTACATCAAGCTAATTTCCTTCAAGCATTTCGTAACAGTAATATTTCGAAATGAATTGTTTGAAGGATTCGATGATAAAATTGAAATACTTCAAAATACAAGCATCTGTTTTAAGGCGTAAGAGATAATGGGTTAGTAGAAAATTCCAAATACGCTCCAAATATTATGAACACTCTTGAAAATTAATACAGAGAAGTAGGTGTATTTAATCACAAAATCAACATCATCCAGGTTGAGTAAGTTTCAATTTGGGAGATTGCTTGCAAATCCAGGGTACAAGCTAGATTATACGTTGAACAAACCACTTGAAGTTTGAATGCATACATTTGTCATCGTTTTTATAGGTTGCACTTTGATATTCAAAAATGTTGGTAAAGTATTGCGTCAACTGTATTGTTTTAATGCCAGCATGTTGTGTAGATTAAACTAGTAGTTAACAGATATATCCAAGTGATCTAAACTCTTGTTACTCCAACTAGTTCAAAAATTTACAAAATATAAAGTTTATTGTGTTTTAAAATTTCATTCCAACCGTGAGAGAAATTATATTTGGTTTCTTTTACACAGCGAAATATGTATTAAAAACGGACACTGGATAAGTTTGAGCCCGCATTATAAAGACTATGTTCGAGTATTTAAATAAAATATTATTACTTGTTAAATTATTGAATTTATGGCATAGACATTTCGCGTATTTAAAACCGTGTTTTAGTAAGCTTAAACAAACTGGAAAGATATTTAATATTTTTAATAAAAGATGTATCGAATTAAAATGTTACTTTTAGCTGAAAACATTCTGAATAAAAACACTAAATAATCCATCGCTTCAAACAGTAATGTTTATATTAATAACATAATGTAATATTCTCTTTGTAGAATAAAACTTTGACATCAAGAGAGTAAGATGTAATTTTATATTCCGCTTTAAAAATATAAAACCATAACCGTCTGGAAACGTTTCTTGTTTGTTTTAGTTAAATAGGGCCTTAAAAATCATAGAAATTCATTTTCTCTTTTGGACAAAAAATACTAAAAATAAAGAAAAATAAGAATTAGCTATATTAAAATATAACTGTAATTGATAGACGTAGTTTCAAAATACACAAATATATTAATTTTAATAGGTTTATGATAAGACGCTAACCATTTAACCAACAAAAGTCGCTTTATTCAGCTATTTTTTTGAGACGAACTTTCTAAAGGGAATACATTATAAAAATTAGTGGATTTTCTACAATAAATAAATCAATTTATTGTTCCACCAAAATTAAAAAAAAATCGCTCTACTCTTCTTTTTCAAGCTGAAATACCAAATCTGTGATGTTACTGCAATTTCATCAAGTCCTATTATTGCACAAACTAATCATAATGCCTTAAATTCCGTAATTTATTGTCCCACTCACGCTTTTATTTTCATGGTGTTTACTGTTTTCAATGAATCTTGAATAACTATATATGCAGCCGTTAATTTCACTAATTTTTTTCACTTTTGACATTTCAAAATATTAATGTAATGACGGTGGTTTGTTGAAGCGGATAAAATATTTGCGAGACACAAATAACAATTTGCCGCCGAAAAAGGAGTTACTGCTGAGTTCCCAGTTTTTGCTTGGTTTAGCACGCTGATAAAAAATTTAATTTGGGAATTTTCTAGACTACAAATATTTTTTATTTGAACACGTAGATTTATCTTAACAAAAATTCTGGAATAAAATAGTGGATGCAATTATCACATGTGAAGTCAGTAAATTCCTGTCAAGACTTCTGGCACTTCTCTTGTCCCCTGCAACCTGACAAATTTTACGCGCATGTCAGGTGGTCTTTTTTTCATAGAGTTCCCATCATGTTTTCATAACACCTTTTGTTTTGTTTTGTCAAGTTTTTGATGAAGCTAAAAATTTCATACAGTTGCAGTAAATGATTTTGAACTTAGTTAACTGGTTGTATACTTTTGACCTTTTGACTTAGTTCTTAAATAAGATAAATCGTAACCTTAAGATGTGAAAATACATACAAATAAGTAGTAGTAAATTATTAAGCCATGTGTACTCAAACATGTCACCAGGCACATTTTTGTTCATATTCAAATGGTAAATTTCAATTCTGCTAATTATATTTCTTGACACTTGTCGCTATATATGTAACAAAAAAATATAGCTGGATTACTAAACTTCAGGCAGAGCACCATATATGCTGCGATTTAAAATGAAATGTTTTATTAACAACATATTCCGATGACATCATAATTTTTCTTGTGGAGATACATACATATGTCAATTTTGAAATGTATACACGAAATTAGTAAAACCGATCTATCTCAGTCAATAAAGAAACTGTTTTATGCATTTTTTTACCATCTTGTGAAAGTAATTCCCGAAAATGAAATATATTGTCAAAGTACATGTAACAGTAGACTTTAGAGCAGATTTTTTTTATAGATTTGACTAGACCCATTTTCTCATTGACTGCACCCCACTGTTCCTTCAAGGTTGTTCTGGAGTCCGTCATCGAGACTTCGGGCACCACATCCAGACTTTTCTCTATTCGAACACCGCCGTCACCGATGATGAGTCACCACAGCTCATCGCCGTACATACTAGAAAACCCACAGGCGTTGAGTTGGGGCGGCGTATGGGTTAATTTCGTAACAACATTATCGACGCTTTTGTTCGTAGATTTTATGAAAGCTTTGGATCCTGTTAAACCATGGCCGACTTCATTAATATACACTAACGTGTATATACGGCCGTTTCAATTTTTGATTTTCCATTAGAAAAAATGTTCCGCCGCCTAGTGCATATTGTGGCGCCCTCAAACGACAGATCTCGTGCTATTTCTGTCAAATTAATTGTCGAGTTGAAACTGACATTGACAACAAATTTTACTCGAAGCATAAAAAAAAGCAGTTTGGTTCAGATAATAAGGTTTTTTTTTAATTTTATCACAAAACACAGTAAGTAAAACAATAATATTAACGTAAAGTTACAATTTCAATACTTTTCGACTTTTAGGTTTAAAATTTAATGCAAATCTCTTGACAGAATCTGTGGTCTCCAAGCAAAGATTGCTGAGAACTGGCTTTACAGTCGTTTTGATTATATATTTGCACACAGAATCCCTGTGATTTGTACAGACAAAAATGGGATTTTGCACAAGGTGTGGATACAGTTCTTCAAGTATGTATTTACCAGGATTATCATGTTGTAGAAATTGCAACATTTGCTGGATGCTTTCAGCTATCAGCTGAATAATACCAACAAAGATATCTTTGGGATAGACTAAACCTCCTCGGTTTTGAATGGCAATCAATTGTAGCAAAGGACCTGGAATGCTAGTACATAATAGAGGTGTTAAACATTCATCACAATGAAATAAATCTTCTAATTTTTTTATTATGTATCCTGCCAAGAAAGCTACTGATGCTGAGAAAATATTATTATCAGGTATGATGCACTTCTTAAGATTGTGAATATTTCTTCGTACTTCAATTGGAAATATGAGTTGTTCTGTGTGCTTAGTAAAGCTCTCTCTGTTTGCCTTAATGCATAATCTGCAGCTCTGGCATCTGTGGCATCATTAGAACCACCTTTCAGTCTTACATGTGAAAACATGCTGAAGGATCGCGTTACAACATAATCGAAGCCAACCTGGCTTAGCAAAAAATTTACACAGAGGTATGTGCTTTTTGCCGTGAATTGTAACGCATGAGCTGTTTCCTTAGTAAGACCTTTAAATCCAACATCTACAGAAGTCTTCTGGATATCGTCAATATACTTTGGAAATGTGACATTTAACCAGTCAAGACGTTCATCTGAAATATGCACATATGGTGCAATACTGCTATCTAGTGAACGAAGATAGTGATCTCTGCTTGAAACATTATGCACCTGAAAAAAATGGTACATGTTTTCCATATAGAATATAGAGGCATCAGCGTCTACAAAGCGATCGTCCCCTGCAGCTTTTAGAAATTTTAAAGAAGAGGTTACAGTAGGTGAAAAAACTTGGATTGCTCTTTTTTTTTTTATTTATTTAATTACGTCCCCCAACAGGCACGGAGGCCCAATTACAGGGGAACGGGACATACACGACACCCAGAGCCAGGGCGGGAATCGAACCCACGACCCAAGGTGTAGCGGGCAAGCATGATGCTAACTAACCCACCCGGGTCCTCTTCTCATCCCTTAGGACATTCATTTTTTCAAAGTTTGATGGAAATAGATGCTTCTTTGTTAAATATCTGACAGGCTTTACTGGCATTCCCTTCTGCAAATCATACAATAATTTGAGGTAACATGATGAAATTTTGCCTTGTGAAGAATACATATCATGGTCTAAAAACAAATTTCGTGCATTTTTTAGAGCATGGCAGAAATCGAAACTCAAAAATAGTGGAATATGTTCCAGAATGGGATGATTAATGGAATTTTTCAGTGATCCGTTTCCAAATTTTTTAAAGAGGGCGACATTTGTTGAAATATTGTCTGTAACAAATCTAATCACAATGTAGCCGCAGTTTGTCAGAAGTTGTAAAATGTTTTTTGTTAATAAATATAATTCCTGAGTTGTTAACGACGAGTGGAAAAAATACCCTGCTGGTATTGTATATCTAGTACTCAATCCCTGCACCACAAAACAAAGCATCTTGTTGGCTACTTTTGGCTTAGTTCCAACACGAGTAGAACTTGTTGTCTCTAAGCCATAAATTCGATCTTCTGCCCTACAGTAATGAACTTTTTCTTTTATGGACATGTCGTCCATTATTAAGGAGCAGATCCTTTCAACTGGCTTTTTTAATTGACCAATTTCTGCACACAATCGCTCTTGGATCAGCTTATTTTGACCATGAAAGTCTCCAAGGAATCTGGATATAGTCGATTTTGAAGGCAGTTTTAGTAAGTTATTGTGGCAAAATCTGTAACCTTTAGGCGAACAAAATCTCCAGACTGTACACAGACGAAGAGACATTTCTGACCACCTAGGTATTTTTTTATAGTGATTTTTTATCAAGTCCAAAAGAAATATTGACTTTTCATCTGCGTTGTTTGCGTCTTCTATAATTTTGGTTATTTTTAAAGCATCCAAATTTTTTACTTTTTCTTCTAACTCTCTCATTTTTGATAAACATTCAGAATTCTTTCGTTTCATTCTACTCAATTGTTGCTTTAAAACTTTGTTGTGGTACCTGAGATCATTAAGTTCTTGTTTATCCTTTGCACTTAAATCATCACATGTGGAAACATTAGTTTCCTTATTAGCATTTTGGAATGAGGAAACGGAAGTTGGATGAGTGTCTAAAAAAGGATTTGTTGGTTGGGTACTAGAAATGTCAGGATCAGTAGGATTCTGGAATGATGACAAAGATTTATAGATTATGTGAGGTACGTAGATTTTTATGTACATACGAATATAAACGGAACCGCTTGTTTATTAAGACGAGTACTTTTTGCGCTTCTAACAATACATTCTGTTGCAAAATGTTTGGAACACACAACAGTATGATCGTTTATCTTGGTCAAATCTAAAATAATTCGAATAAAATATTTTTTGGAACTTGTTTTATGAAATACCACAAAATTTTGAAAGTGATTCAAACCATTTGTTTCTAAGATCTACTTCCGCAGGAATTTCAAAAAGTGGATTCTGTGTATTACCACAAATCATACACTTTCTTCCCATATTATAAAGACCTAGTTTATTAACAACGATAATAATTCATGCCCAAAATTATTTTGGATTTGAAAATTGTCAAAGAAAATTTCTGACAGTAGTGACAGTTTAGTTCAAGACATTGCCGTGGGTGGCGTATGCTTATGTACCCATGGATTACTACGCGGGAACAAATTTTTAAAAAATTGAAACGGCCGTATATACACGTTAGTGTATATTAATGAAGTCGGCCATGGTTAAACACGGAATCTTAACACAAAAGCTTACTTTGTGTAATGTACTTAATCCACCACTTTCTTCGGTCCTCAGTTACGTCACGAATCGTATGGATTGGTAAAAATAAAAAAAAATACAAATCTGGGAATCATGCAAACCTCTACAAAATTCATATGACATTTAGCGCTGCACATGGAATTATCATATGGAACATGGCCAGCACTATTTCGAAAAGATTTACTACTGTTTCCTTGTCGAGTAACAAAAATTGCGTGATGTTGTCCTTTCAGCTAGGGTTATCAGTGGTTTTGGACACATTTAATGACTAGCTGTTAGAGAAAACCTTTTTTACAGACAAAGCCTGCTTTCATTTGAGCAGCTACATTAATGCTCAAAATATGAGAATATAGAGCACCTAAAATTCACACGTGTATGTTAAGATTTTCCTTCATCCTCACAAAATATGTGTTTAGACTAGTTTTAGATAATAGGGACTATATTCTTTGAAAGTAATCATGGCAATAATAATCATATAATTAACGGACTTATTCAATATAATCCTCTTCAAGGTAACCTAATCATCCCTAAACATCACCAAGAAATTTTGGCAAATTGAGACTACAACTTCACGACGATGAAATGGAAGTAGGTTATCTTCAACAGGACAGGGCTGCAGCGCATTCGGCTGGGACCATAATAGCAATGCTACAGGAATTTTTAACAACCGGATCATTGGTCGAAATGCAAAGAATACTAGGCCCCTGATATCTTGCTGTCTTATTCCTCCAGTCTGCCCCAGATACTGAAGATCTTCCACGAGATTTATCTTTGTTGCCACTGCCAGTTCGAACAAATCTGGTGATTACATCTGTAATATGAGCCTTTAACGATGTTCCTTGAATTAGTAAATCACGGTATTTTTCTTCATTTACGAAGCCCCACTGCGATAACAAGACATAACAATGAAAATATATTGTTCGACAAAATAAACAATTTTCGCAGTTTTCGCTTCCCAACACAAAAACAAAATTCTCGTACGTAACCACCAAAAGTTTTGAAAACGACTGTTTTGTTGTTTTGAGATTATATCAACGAGAATTACTGTAATTCACACTTCAAAAACGTTAAAACAATAAAAACGACGACTTTAAATGATAGATTACAAATTACATTAATGACAAGTGAGAACTGTCATAATTAGGCATAATTTCTGCGAAGCGTAATTTTTGAAATCCATGGCCAACTATGCCCTTAGAATAATTTATAAAAGCCCTGTATAATAAATAAATTTTGGAATAATTGGACATAATTTCTAACGGCTTACGAATAGTTGTAATGACTGAACCTTTTCTTTTTCTCTTCTTCTTTTTGTAATTGTTTAGCGTTAATAAGTTATTATTACTTAATATCATCATTATTCGTTTTCTGCAAGCCGTTAAACGCCAAGAAGACATAAAAAAAGTAAGGCATTTTTATTGGTGAGTTCTTGAGAGTTGGCAGATGAACGAATACTCAATAAAGTGTCCTCCTTCTAAGTGTTATGTTTTTTTGGAGACATAACGCATTATGAAATTCGCCCTCGAAGTGGTCGTCCGCACGTTCTTTACGGAGAATTTGTATTACAAGACCTTTCCAATTTTGGAATTTAATAAAACTTTCCGTCATGCATGGGCGTGGCTTTCGCAAACTGAAGCGCCAATTTACGAGAGTAACCAAGGCCGGAAAAAAATCCCGTTATTACGTACCAATCAGGACGTTGTGTCTCTTCATACCGGAGTTAATTTTCAGGCATTTCAGCGATTCCTTCGCAATTTTCTTTTTTCGAGCCGCGCCACTACGTACCTACTTAAAAATAATTTGTTTGTTTCCTTGCAGGGAGCAGGAATCTTCTTTTCCGACCTGGTTGCTAAGAAATTAAGATGTCTCTTGCTAATTATTTTTCGCATCGCAGCGAATAAACAGCACGGATAATGCAGTGCGGCAGATAACCCGGAGCTTTTTGACTCGTCTTCGCGTTATTTTAATCCTCGCGACTAAAGCCCCGCTCCCATTTTAATAATGAATTTAAAGAGACGCCGCCACTCGAAATTCAGGTTCGCTTTATGCATGACGGGCGGCGGACCGAATCCCGTTTCGATTGGTTATTCGGTCGATCTGGGAAATCTCATAAACATAATCTCGACGCTAACCCCATCTCAAAAGCAAACAGCACACACTTCATTAGGCCGGAGATGATCTCCAGGTTATAGTGTTTATGGACAAACAAACCTCGACGGCATCACGTACGTCGCTAAGGCCTGATTGCTTTCGGTTCCAGCGTCGCCACCAAACTTGTCACCAAGAGACCAACTAACTATTAAAGCTCTTCACTAGACCGCTGTGGGAGAGCTTTTTCGAGTCTCGAGATAACTTACAGCTTATGGCGATATCTTGGCCACTTGGTTTACTGGCATTCCGCTCCAGAGGCTATTCATTATTTATTAGGGGTATGTTGAATTTATAATTGTTGTTACATCTTTCTAGCAGGGTGGTTGAAATAACATCTTGCGAAAATAGGAGGACATACATATACCAGAACGAAACTTTTTGATTCCAGAACAAACGGGATATTTTATTTTATAAAATAATTATTATTTAAACCGTGTTAGTTTGATATTTTATGTGAGTATAAAATTTACTTATTTGGTGTATAACCTAATGAATAATTACAATGTTTCATTAATAGGATGGTACGAGATTTACTTTGTTAAACCTGAAAGTTTTCAGACCGAATACGGCGAGAAAATATGGAGTAAATCCTGTGTAATGTATGTAAATCTATTTTGTACAACGGAACAAACTGGTCTAAAAATTTTAGGCCATGCCTTCGTCACCCTCTGAAACACGACCAACGCAACGAATGTATTTTTTATGTTATGTTAAGACTTCTTGTCGAAGAAAGAAAACCCATGTCAATTTTTTCTTAATACCTTTCGTTATGTAGTCGTCAATTTTCTGGTGAATTTTCGATTTCTCCCTTCGGCGACGTATCAACTTTCCAAAACTAAGAAGTTAGTGTAAATTTACTAGCTAGGTTTGCAAAAATTAAAGCAAAGTCGAGTACATACTGTCATCATGTTAATTTTTTTTACATTTTTAAAGCATTTTGACAAACGATATACATATCAAAAAAATGTTAAATCGCTGATAGATAACATGATGCAAATTTTTTTTGTCTGCTCCATTTGAAATAAAAAATTGGTTGATGATGGTTTCGATACTTTCCTTCGCCCTTCAAATATAATGCTCCCGCTTTTTAAAAAATATATAAAATTTGATTTTGCGATTTTCGTTTTGGGATAACCTCTATGAAGTAAAAACCAGATGCCTAAATAACACCACAAGTAGCCCCTACGCCGTGGTATGTAAATGTAATGATATTTAAAGCTGAGAAGCAACAGGCTAAAATGTCGTATCAGCACTAATAATATATATACTTAACTTCATATGTTTATGTTTGTACATCGAAAGAATGTTACATAGAAAGCAGTTTGAATTGAATGAGTTTGTCTCTTCAAAACAGAGGATTAAAAAATTATTAATTAAGCAACGATCAAACAAAATGTTCTGAATATTATATTTCTATTTTAACATTATTAAATAAAAACGTGCGAATTCTCACATTTTAAAGAAAATGGGGTGACTAGTTTTTAATTTGATCAATAAAAAATTCGTGATGATGTCATCAAGATAAGAAACATTGGTCATAGCACAAAAGAAACTAGTCAGCGCATTACCAATGCAGAAAAAAAGAAACAGCCAAGCCCGGCATCGAACGTGCGACCGTAGGCGGCTTTTCTCCAAAAAAATGTGCTGCTCCAGGAATGCTTATACACCGCGCTGGTTGTACAAATTTTTTGAGAAAATTCGAACGTTTAGAGAAAAAACTCAAAGC